ATGAAATAGGCCTTTTGCAGCTAAGCCATCACGTGACCTACTTTTCATGAAATTATGGGCTATAACTTAGCCGAATTCAGAAAAGGAAAAAGCATTTCGAAAATAACAAAATGGCCAAGTTTGAGGCCTCCATTATTCAAAAATGAGATTTGATGACACTCTGAATTTTTTAATAAATAAGAAGGTTTATATGGAAAAAGTTGCTGGAGAGCAAGGCCTTGCTCTCCAGCAACATTTTCCATACAAATCCTCTAAATTTTCCGAAAGTTCAAACCGCTGTAAAAACAGTGCTCTGTAATTCCCGGGGCCCAAACTTAGCCATTTTGGTATTTTCGATATGCTCTTTCCATCTCTGGTATTCTTCAAGTTGTATCCCATAATATATTTCTAAAATTGATCACGTGACCCTAGCTGCAAAAGGCCTATTGCTGTCGGTGGACTGATGTTGCGTTTGAAGGCGAAAGAATAATTCTGCGATGATCCCGCATTCAAAGTATCTGTAGGCTGGTACATAAACTGGAAGCGGCGCCATTCCATCTTTCTCCGAACGAAGACCGCCCTCGCCCAGCGTCTGCCAAACGATCTCGGAGAGCAAACAGTAAAATTCCACCGGTTCATGATCGCAGCTCGTCAGCGCCGTGGATACCTTTTGTCCAGAATTTTCAATATGGATGAGACACCAATGCGGTTCGAGATGCCGTCCAGCCGTACTCTGGAATTCAGTGGCAGCCGAAGAGTTCCCGTGAAATCCTGTGGCGCAGAGAAGAGAAGCTTCACAGTCACGCTGGCGGTCGCTGCTGATGGCAAAAAGCTGCCACCTAAAGTTATCTTCAAACGCGTACGAACCCCGAGAGACCTGGTTGTTCCGGACTCAGTTCGTGTTTCATTCCACAAAAAAGGATGGATGGATGAAGCTGGTAAGTTAACAGTTTTGTGTTGTTCATATGCGCTCTTTATTCTGTGCTCTTTACTCGTGTTTAAACCTGCATGCTTTATTGAAATCTTTAATTAAAGTGAGGTCTAATCGATTGTTGTATTCTTTCTTTCGTCATAGGCGTGAAGGAGTGAATTCGTACCTGCATGCCAAGAAGCCCCACTGGTGAGTGATCGCTGTTGGTTTGGGACTCCTTTCGTGCTCATCCTACTGAGTCAATGAAAGAAGCATTGCAGCGGCGAAGTATCTATGTAGCTGTTATTCCCGGTGGCCTAACTCCAGTTCTCCAGCCCTTGGACAAGTGTCTAAATAAGCCCCTCAAGGAGAATATGAGAAGAAAGTACCTGTCGTGGATGATAACTGGTCCCTTCGAGTTTACTCCTGCTGGAGAAAAGAAAGCGCCGTCAAGAAACCTCGGTCCACATTGGATAAAGCAGTCTTGGAGGGAGATCCCGAAGGAGATGGTGGGGAAATCATTTCATACTTGCGTCATCTCCAGTGCGCTTGACGGCACCGAGGATGACGCCATCTATGAAGAGGAACAAGACAATGACGCCGAGGAAGATGAGATGGATGAAGAATTTGATACGGAAAGCGAAGATAAGCCATAAGCTGATATCCTCGAACGTGCAGTTCACGACAGAAAACAAACGGCTCCTTTAGGAGCCACCACATGTTAAAAGTTAATGAACAATAACTCTTGCTTTTTGTCCATGTGTTTTGCTCCGCTTGTATGCGAATATGTGCGTATTTATCGAAGTTTTATTAAGTCCATAATTTTTGTTCAGGTTAAACACTCGGCTCTAAGCCGAAACCACCTCTACAAGTCAGATTTTAATTAAAGTTAGGCTAAACCTGTGTAAAAATCGCTCGGCTTATAGCCGATAAAATACGGTATGTGGATGAAGGGTCAAATGAAATTTACCTTGAAGATAGAGCCTGGAATGAAAGACCTGTTGATGGATGGTACCTAGATGATATCATGTCAGTAGATTTTGGCACACCTGATAAACTTTCCTTTGTAGCACCAGAAGACTCAGATGAAGAATATGTAGCATCAAAGGAAAACTTGATGGAAAGACTCACAGTCATTGGTACTACATGTACTTCTCCATTTCATGTTGGAAAGCATTCATGGAAAACCAAACTTTCTGGTGAAGTTCCCTATGGATTTTCTTTTGGTGTTGGGGTTCGCCGTAAAGGGAATCTGCTCAAGTGGACATGGGAGACAAGAAACAAGTACCAAGGCTCATCATGTCAGAAAAGTACTTTAACAAATTGTATAAATGATGACATTACTGAATTTTACCTGGACTGTAATAACAGAATGCTAACAATGTACAACCAGCGCACCAAAGAGAGTGACACATGGGAAGCTGTCAAAGGTAAAGTATGCCCTATGTTTGAGATGTCTAAAGATGAACAAGAAGTTTCTTTAATTTTGTAAAGAGAGGAAAACCAATCTAATTTCGGTTTCATCTGACAACACCAAAATTAAAAAAATAAGGAATTAACAATTCTTTTGAGATTTTAGGTTGGTTAGTTATTAGACCAGCTGAAGACTTATCTTTTCATTACCAAATTTTCAGTTTGGTAGGATTTTTCTTCTTGTGATCAAGCAAGGTTGAATTTATACTCGATGACATATTTTTTGTCAGCTTCTAGTCAGGCTGCCATCATATTTGTGCCCCTCAGAGGGACATAAACGTGGTGTCTCCATACAAAGCCTTATAAATAATGGTAATTGAACTGAGTGGAGTGCAATTTGTATAGGTAATCACATGATTTCGAGTGCAATTTGGAATAAATAAGCACGAGTAAATTTTTTCAAAGACTAACAAAATTGCATGAGCCCGTAGGGCGAGTGCAATTTGTGGTCTTTGAAAAAATTTACAAGTGCTTATTTATTCCAAATTGCACGAGAAAATCATGTGATTATCTATTAATAATATACATGAAAAAATACGAGGTAGCTTCTCATAACTACGCAGAAGAAAAGCGCGCGCATCACGTGCAAAAATAATTTATTCAAACCCTGCAAGTGACATTGACCTTGACATTGACCTTGACCTTGACATTGACATTGACTAATCATTCTAACCAATCAGAATGTCTGGTTTGTTTCTTTCTTTGCACTGAATTAAC